CTCTGAGTAACATCTTCATTTCATTTTCCCATTTCCAGTGTGAGCCTCCCCAAACCTTAAAAAAAAAAAAGACTGCTGAACCTGTTGTATTGTGGTTATTTGTTTGGGCTTTTATCTAATTAGCATGGCCTTAATCTTTAATCTCATTTGCCATTTGAAATTCACTTTTCACAGTTACCTCTTTTGATTAAATTATTATTAATAATAATTTATTAAGTAATAATAAAGTATTGCCTCTACTGTTTTTTCCCCATCTCTCCAATCTATATCGATATCATCACCTTCATACTTTAGTGACTGATTGTAAACCACTCTTGAACTTTGTTATACTAAATTTTCGTTCTATTTTTGCCCTGTCTTTGATATGATATGTAAGTTACAAAAAAACGATGAATGAATATGTACTTTATGAACATGACAGGAAATTTGGAGTTAAATGACTGTCATCCTAGAAAATTTGGAAATAAGCAGAAGAGAGGAGAAAAATGATCTCTCCAAACAGAGAAACAATCACAAATAATACTTCTGTCTCTAGGAATTTGAATGAAACTATTTTGTACATAACTTGGTTTGGAGAGTAATTTAGTGTCTTCCTTTGTTGTAATATTATTTAACATCAGTTGTTACAATATAAAAAATGTGCATAATTTTCACATTTTAGTTATCTTACAAAATTTTATTAGGTTAAGACTGCTGTTCTTTCCTTTTCCCCATCATCCAAAATAAAAATACTATGTTGCTTAGTTTTTTTGTCTTAAATGTAGCATATGAGGGTCTTTTAATACATGAGGATTGTTATCCTTGTTATTAGAAGCTTTTAGGTTTGCTGGAAACAAGTGACATCTGGAAATGGTCCTGCTGTATGAATTAACCATTTTTGAAAGCAAGTGAGATATTATATAAGAAACTTTGTAACAGTTTTGGGGGTTTTGTGGCTTGAGTTTGAAAGTTTGAGAGGGAAGATTGCAAAGGGAGAAACAGGGAACCTGATTGAGCAATAGTGTAAAAGATGATTTGGGAGTTTCTAGTTCTGTGTAAGGAGCTCTGGTAGCATAGTGCCTAAGGCCCATGAGCCACTCAGAAGGAAGGTTGGGCAATCTACTTCCATAGTGATACTGCCTCAGAAACCCAAGGAGGGGTCGCTGTGTGTCGGGGCCGACTCGAGGGTACATAACAACAACAGTTCTGTATAAGAAGCTCTGGTGCCCTAGTGCCTGAGGCACTTGACTGCTAACCAGAAGGCTGGTGGTTCAGACCCAGGGAAAGAAGACAGGGCAATCTACTTCTGTAAAGATTTACCACTTCGGAAACCGAACGGGTTGCTATGAGTCCAAATCAACTCCATGGTAGTGGGTTTGGTTTGATTTTGTTTTTTAGTTCTGTATAGATGGGGACATTAGTGCTTCAGTGGTAGAATTTTCGCTTTACACGTGAGAGGCCTGGGTTAGATTCCTAGCCAATGCATCTCCTTCACAGCTATCACCTGTGTGTCAAAGGAGGCTTATATGTTATTGTGATGCTGAACAGATGTCAATGGGTCTTCCAGACTAGGACAGGCAAGGAAGAAAGGCCTCTGGTGATCTACTGCCATAAATCAGCCCTATTGATCACAATGGTTCAGTCTCATTGTGCATGGGGCTGCCATGAGTTGGAAGTCAACTCAAATACCACTAACAGGAACAACAACAGAATAGATTTGACACATTGAACACTAATGACTAATGACCAGACAGGTTGTGGAAGGACATCATCATACACAAAGAAAGCAAAAGTTCATTGAAAGGAACAGAAAATACCAAAATGGATGTCAGAAAAGACTCTGAAACTTAATGTTGAACATAGCTAAAGTGAATGAGGAAATGATGAAATGAAAGAGCTGGACAGAAGATTTCAAAGGTCAGCTTGAGAACAACATGAAGTATTACAGTGAAATGAGGAAAGATGTGTAGTTAGAACACTAAAGGAAGAATATGCTAAGCATTTCTCAAGCTGAAAGAATTGAAGAAAAGCAAGCCTCAAGTTCCAGTACTGAAGGAGCCTATGGGCAAAATGTTGAACAACACAGGAAGCATCCTAGGAAAATGGAAGAATATACAATATGAAAAATTATTGGTCAACATTTAAGCATTTCAGGAAGTAGCATGTATGATCAAGAATTGATGGTATTAAAAGAAGTCCAAGTTGCACAGAATGCATTGGTGGAAAACAAGGCTTCAGGAATTGATGGAATACTAATTGAAATGTTTCAACAAATGGATGCAGCACTGGAGGTGCTCACTGGCCTATGCCAGGAAATTTGGAAGACGGCAACCTGGCAGACCAATTAGAGGACATCCATAGTTGTGTCTATTTCAAATAAAGGTGATCCAACAGAATGTAGAAATTACCTAACAGTATCATTAATATACATAAGTAAAAGTTGGCTGAAGATAATTCAAAAACGGTTGCAGGGTACATCAACAAGTAACTGCCAGAAATTCAAGCTAGATTTAGAAGAGGTTGTAGAACAAGTAATATCAGATGGATCTTAGCTGAAAACAGAGAATAACAGAGAGATGTTTACCTGTGTTTTAATGACTGCAAAGGCATTTGATTGTATGGAACATAACAAATACAGATAACATTGCGAAAAATGGGAATTCCATTGTGCTCGTGTGGAACCTGTATATAAAGTAAGAGACAGTCTTTCGAACTGAACAAGGGGATACTACATGGTTTAAAACCAGGAAAGGCGTGCATTAGGGTTTTATCCTTTCATCATACTTAACTCAGTCTGTATGCTGAGCAAATAATCCAAGAAGCTATACTATATGAAGAAGAACGTGGCATCACGATTGGAGGAAGACTCGGTAACAGCCTGTGATACACAGCTGATACAACCTTGCTTACTGAACATGAAGATGATTTAAAACACTTAATGATGAAGATCAAAGACTACAGCCTTTAGTATGGATTATACCAATAAACAACTTCATAATAAACAAAAAAAAAATTGAAGTTGTCAAGAATTTCATTTTATTTGGATCCACAGTCAGCACCTATGGAAGCAGTCTAGAATTCAAATGACTCTCCCTGCCTAAAGCAAAGAATAGTGAAAAACAATCAAAGACACTAATACATGAACCTTAGCCTCCACATCTCTCATACTAGAAGTAGATAGTGTTCGACTATCACTACTGACCATCCTGAAAGGGATTATGAATAGAAGGGTCCTGGGTAGAGTAGGAGAAGAATGTGGAACAAAACTCAAAATCATTTTTTAAAATATCAAGCTTACTGGCCCTTAGACACCCTTCCAGTATAGAACTGTAATTATCCTCAAGACTCACCTTTCAGCCAAATTAGAGTCAGGCCTTTAAGAGGAACAAGTAACACCAGGGAGGTGAATGAGGTACACGCCTTAGAAAAATCAACCATATAAGATTAAAAGGGCAGCATTTGGCCAGGAATAAAGTTAAAAAAAAAAAAAAAGCAAAGCTGTCACTTTCATGACTAAGGTGCACCTGACCCAAACCATGGTATTTTCAGTGGCTTCATGTATATTATAAAGCCGGACAATGAATAAGGAAGACCAAAGAAGAATTGATGTCGTTGAATTACAATTTTGGTGGATAGACTGCCAGAAGGAACACATAGGCTTTGGAAGAAGTACAGGCAGAGTGCTCTTTAGAAGCAAGAATGGTGAGACTTCACCTCAGGTACTTTGGACATGTTAGTCAGGAGGGACCAGTCCCTAGAGAAGGACATCATGCTTGGTAGAGGGTCAGCAAAAGAGAGTGTCAGTTCCTCGACTAGATGGTTGATATAGTGGCTGCAGCAGTGGGCTCAAGCATAACAGTGATTTGTTTGTTCAGAAGATACATATTTTAATGTTACTACAACTTTTACTTTTCTGAGGGCTGTCAGAGTAAAGTAAATGATGAGGAGATGAGTTTCTATTTTTATTTTTTTCCTTGAATTTATCTTTGTGGTTTCAGTTTAGGAACTGTTTCATCTGTCATGGCACTTAATCCATTCTGTTGAGTTTACTGTTTGCTTGTTGACAGACTATAAAGTCATTGAGGGCTAGAGACTATTTTATTTGTTCACCAGGGTATCCCATTTACCCTAATCAGTACCTGCCATGTAGTAGATGCTTAATTAATAAACAGAAAAATTGGAAGGGCATATACTAAATGTACAAAATTATTATCTGAGTACAGAGATTATGGCTGATTATTAGTGACAATCACCATCATCATTTTTTTTTTCCTTCCAAACAAAGACAAAACCCTCTGCCATCAAGTCGATGCTACTCATAGCAACCTGCATTGGGTTTCCAAGTCTATAAATCTTTATGGAAGTAGACTACCTCATCTTCCTTCTGGTTAGCGGTCAGATGCCTTAGGCACTGCACCACCAAAGCTCCACACCACCAAGCTCCTTTTTTTTTCCTTCACCCAAATTAATATTTGTCTATCCTCTAGTTATTGGAGTTGTTTACCCTCCCCTCCTACCTATCCTTGGTGACCAAAAAATACTTTATTTTGATATGCTATGATGAACATAGATACGTATATATTGGTTCATATCATAGCTCTTATTTCTCTAGGATATATACCTAGTATTGGGATTGATGCACATATGGTCTATTGCCATCTTTTTAAGGAAGTGCCATACCGTTTTCCACAGAATATTACCATTTTAAAACAAAGAAATGAATCACCAGGAATAGAGGATACAAAGAGCTAACTCACAGTGCTTTCTCTCAGGATGCATGCAACCTCCAACTCCTGACTTCTACACTCTGACTAGTTTTCCAAAATAAATGATTGGAATTCAGGGAGTTAGGAGATTGTGGTGTTCCCATAGGAAAAAGGGCATTGTGAATGGAAATATCTGGCTGTGTGTTCTTAGTCTGAGGCAACACTGGACTCAATTTTATTATGCCCATTTGTGTGGCCAAGATTTATTTCATGATCATTGCAAAAATAATTTTATTTTTGTGTTTTCTCCCTCAGCATTTGACATCGTGCAGCAAAGAAATGGTTATGGAGAAGCCCAGTCCGCTGCTTGTAGGGCGGGAGTTTGTGAGGCAGTATTATACTTTGCTGAACAAAGCTCCAGAATATTTACACAGGTAAAATTTAAATGTATTTAATATTTTTTATTAAATATGATTACACATATTTTGTCTTTTTTCTTTATGTCCTGACAGTATCTTTCCCAAAGTCTCTAAACTGTATCCAATATTTTAACCATATGATACTTGAACAGTATTTTTCAAGCTTTTTAACTGAAACCCAAGAAAGAAAAGTTCACGTTATGTCACAGTATGTAACACATTTATATCTACATATCTGAAAAAGTTCTATGAAATATTTACCTGTGTGTGTGTGTGTGTGTGTGTGTGTATACTTTTTCTAATATGTACTCATATTATGGGAGCTCTGGTGGCGTAGTGCCTAAAGGTACTTGACTGCTAATCAGAAGACTAGCAGTTCAAACTCAACAGCCACTCCTCAGAAGGAAGATGGGGCAATCTACTTCCGTAGTGATACTGCCTCGGAAACCCAAGGAGGGGTCGCTATGAGCCAGGTCTGACTTGACGGCACACAACAACACCACCCATATTATACATTTCATTTTTTAAAAAAAGAGGAAATCTTGGGCTTGACCAACTCTAATGAGTCGCAATGTGCAATTTGAAGTCATTGACTTAAGTTGTCTTAAGTTCTTCAAAATGACCTTGGGTAAATGAATCAATTAGGTGATTATACTTTTGAAAATTTGTGTCTCTTTTATTTGATCTGTAAACTAGTATTGGTACTTGGTAATACAGTAAGAGTAGGCTTACCTACTATCTTAGAAAGAGTTGGACTTTTATAAGCCTGTATTTTCTAAGATTGAAATGAATTGATTTATATTCCATAGAAAAATGTGAGTGGTGTTTTTTTGTTCTTTAGGGTATATCTTAGCAAATAGAAGATTTGTAAGGATTAGGCTTTGTAAATACGGTGAAACTTGGGAGAACCAGAATTCAACAGGACTGCCTTGTTTTTCAGTGTCTCACAAGTTTTCCTCTGATGGAGTACAGTCTTACCATTTTCTGTCACCCTCTATTAATGGATATATTTGAGTTTTCCTTTTCTGACCCTTACACAGATTCCACCTTTCACGGTTTTACTGTATTTGTTGTAGAACACACCAGCTCAGTGAGTCAGGGATAAATATATTATTGCCTCTTCATTTAGGGTAAGATGTTAAAGATTTCTATTTCTTTCCTGTAGGCATGCTGGACATTGTGAAATTAGATTTTACAATTTGTTCCACAGTATTAACTTTATGTATAATATTTTCTGCCTTAATCAGGGAGACTTTTTTTTTTTTTTTTAATTTTAAAAGCTTGTTTTACATTCAACATAACGCGTACATTAAGTTTCATTCCCCAATCTCCACGTCCAGCCCTAACCCAGTCTCCTACCCTGTAACCCTCCCCCTGTGCCCCTCATGTTTATGCACCCCTATTTGTCCTGCATTTCCTCAGTTTGAATGTTGGTCCTCTGGTGTCTCAGGGAGACATTTTAATATTATTTGCTAGACTAAGTCCTTTACATGCCTAGGAGCTCTGGTAGCATAGTGCCTAAGGCACTTGACTGCTAACCAGAACTGGTGGTTCAAACCCACCAGCCACTGCTCAAAAGGAAGATGGGGCAATCTACTTCCATAGTGATACTGCCCCAGAAACCCGAGGAAGGGTCACTATGAGTCGGGTCCGACTCGATGGCATATACCAACCAACCAACCAAGTCATTTACGTATGTATGTTATCTCTAATAGTCTTAGAAGGTGTAGATACTTTCATTGTCTGACTTTATAGATGGGAGAGCTGAGGCACAGGAAGATTTAGTCATTAAGCAATTCATCCAAGACCACTTAGTAAGTAGTAAGTAAATGAGTTGATCATAGCCAGTCTTCAGAGTTCTGACTCAAGAGCCCAACCATGCTATTATACTGGAATATCAAAAAACCAAAAACCAAACCCACTGCCATGGAGTTGATTCCAACTCATAATGACCCCCCTTGGGTTTCTGAGGTGGGAAATCTTTACAGAAGTAAATTGTCCAGTCTTCCTTCCACAGAGTGGCTGGTGGATTTGAACTGCCAACCTTCTGGTTAGCAGTCACATGCCTTAGGCACTACGCCACTAGAGTTCCTTGTACTGGAATACAGTATATATAAAGTACAACAAATGTATTCCCCCAACCTCACCCCCCCAAAAAAAAGGGCAAATAACTGTGTGTGTTTCTAATTATAAAGTGAAGGCATTCTTGTTGACAATGTATATGTAGTTGGGGGGAAAATTGAATTAATAGGGCTTTTCACTATCTTAAATTTGGTCTTTACACAATTAGGTTTTTTGTTGTTGTTGTTTTCCTGACAAGGAACATTTATTTTTCTATTAACAAAAAAAGGAAAATTTAAAACAATAACACTCTATACCATCATTTTTAAATAACGGCATGGAGTTCTCTTTCATATTTTCCCTTTTTTAATGAATTCCCCTATTAATGGAAATTTAGGATGTTTGTAATTTTTCACTTGTTGTAAACGACACTGTATTGAATATCCTTAAACACACATTTTTGTGCACCTTTCTAGTTACTTCCTTAGGATAGGTTCCTACAAGTAGAATTGTTTCATCAGAGGTATGATCATTTCTAAGGCTTTCCATATATATATACACACACACGTATTGCCACGTTGTCCTCCAAATAAAGATTCCAGTTTACATGTTTGTTAATATGATATAAAATAACACTTAAAAATAATACTGGGTAGTTAAAAGCGTGCACACTGGACCCAGACTGTCCAAGTTGTTCTCTTAAGCCTCTCCCACTTGATAGATGTGTGACCTTAGGTGAGTTATTTTAACCTCTTATGAACCTCAATCTGCTCATTTGTAAAATAGGGATAATAGGCATTATTTTGTGAGTTTGTTAGGGTTAAATGGATTGATATATAATATATAAGGTACTGAGAACATTGCTTGGCATAAAAGAAGCACTAAGTGTTTTATTAATAGGAGCTGGATTCTCTTTATTAAAAAATTATAATTTTATATTACTAATAGTAATAAAATTAGACACTGAAATAAAGTAGATTTTGATTTTGTCTCTGAATTATTTCCATTGTTTTAGTCTAAGTCTTTGGAATTAGTAATTATTTGGAAGTCTGAGTGTATGTTAAACAGAATATCTGGTTCCTAAACAAATCTGCGTAACTGAGGTTTTTTGTTTTTGTTTTCTATCTGAAGGAAATGAAAATTGGCCTATTACTATCATTAGTATTCAGAATGTATAGGTGGTGTAGTGGTTCAAACATTTGGCTGCTAACCAGCCGCTCTTTGGGAGAAAGATGAAGCAGTCTGCTTCCATAAAGATTTATAGCCTTGGAAATCCTATGTGGGGCAGTTCTGCTCTGTCCTATAAGGTCGCTATGAGTTAGAATTGACTCAGTGGCAGTGAGTTTTGGTTTAGATATCTCATTCTTCCATTTAAGAATTAGATGAATATAGGTAATGATTGTTGTTATTTGCCGTCGAGTCGGGGCACATAACAACAACAAGGTAATGACTGTTTATTTAGTCTGCCAGGCACTATACTAAGCATTCTGTGTGCATAATCTCATTTACTACTTACATCAACCCTATGGAGTAGTTACTGTTCCTGTTTTATAACCTAAAGACCTTACATAGCTTGCCTGAAATTACACAACTAATTAGTGACAGCCAGGACTGGAACCTAGGTCTGTTTGACACCACTTAGACTTTGTGAAAATTTGATGTTAATCATTAATTATTGATGGTTTCCCAGATTTTATGGCAGGAATTCCTCCTATGTTCATGGTGGAGTAGATGCTAGTGGAAAGCCCCAGGAAGCTGTTTATGGCCAAAATGTAAGTATCAATCTCATACTTATTTTAGATGTATTTTTATGTTGAGAGATTTGAAAACTAGCCTTTTTGTGCCCATGAATTTCTCCCTTTCACAAGGAGATAGGGTCATTAGTTGTAACTGGAATTATATTTCAATAATTGCCTAATATGCATTGTTCTTATTAAGCATCCATTTTTGTGTGGGATTGGTAAAAAGGATTATTAAGTGGGATGCTTTGTATCCTTGTATTTTTTGTATGAAACAATTGAGACATTGCATTAAATCTGTACAAATATGGGCTAAACCCTGTGTTACAGGATATGTTCCATATGATTTAACAGGCAAAGAAAGACTGGTAGAGGATATGGACTCAGCTAGACTTTGAAGTATAGTATTTGACATTACCAGTCAGGAAAACTGAAAGTAGAAGAAATGGCCTCAGCATACACAATTAGAAGTAAAATTAGAGGTTGTAAAGTCAAGGAGCAGTCAACAGTTTATGACTAAATACTTGCTATAAAAAAGTGGGAAAAAGCTGTATAAAACTCAGGTTACTGCATAATGTAAGAGCCATTGTGATTTCTTGTCTGCAGAGGTGACATATTGAAAATGGTTTAGGAACATAGGCATGATGCATAGGATGAAGAAGAAGGATGATGGAATTGATTTAAATGAGGCAGAAAGATTAAATGAGGAAATCAAAGAAGATGGTAATAGGTTGGTAAAGCAGTATCACCAGAGTTTGCATTTTTCCCCCTTCCGCCTTGATACAGGATATACACCACAAAGTGTTATCTCTAAACTTCAGTGAATGTCATACCAAAATTCGTCATGTGGATGCTCATGCAACCTTGAGTGATGGAGTAGTTGTCCAGGTTATGGGTTTGCTGTCTAACAGTGGACAGCCAGAGAGGAAGTTTATGCAAACCTTTGTTCTGGCTCCTGAAGTAAGTTTTCATTTCACTTTGTTTTCATTTGGCTGTTAATAGTTGACTGAAGTGTCTTAGAGTTTTCTTCTAATTGGTTTAATTTTGCATGTTGCTGTTTTTGAGAAATTTATATCAGCTGTTGATATAATTTGAGCTTTGTGTGTGTATGCTTTGATGATTTGGAAGTAAAAGTTACATATTGATAAAACGTGTATGTGGATGATTAAGTTTACAGAAATAATTAAAAAACTGAATTGTTATATTTAATAGGTTGCATATTGAAAATGAAATGTGAAATTTATCAGTTGGTCCCAGTCTTGTAACTGTTGTGTAGCCATTTCTTGAGTTCCATTGTCTTTGAGTGGTCTTTTTTAGTTTAAATTAACAACATCACATGTTCAACTTAGGCAGATTATATCGAGTATACATTATTTCTTTAGTATTATTATTGAAATTATGTATGCCATTTATTCTCTGTATGTAATGCTAAGTTTATTGTACTTACAGGATATTTCGGTGTTGTTTTCTTATAGGGTTCTGTTCCAAATAAGTTTTATGTTCACAATGATATGTTTCGTTATGAAGATGAAGTATTTGGTGATTCTGAACCAGAACTTGATGAAGGTGAGCTTACAAGATAGAAGACTCTGTCAGTATGTTTACAGACATGGGAAGTATGAAACTTACTTGTCTATTTCTGTAACTGAGTCAAACTCCCTTTTCTTTGTTTTTTTCTCTTTGTTATACAGTTAATAGATGTTCATTATATGAAATTTTTACAAAAACCAAACATTACAAAGGTAATGTAGCATATAGAAAGTGAGAAAGTTCCCTGTAATCTCATCTTCTATAGATAACCAAAAGTTTGGTGACTATTCCTAGAATTTTGGATCCTCTACTTACCAATTTAATTATTTTAAAAATGGAATTAGGCTGGCTCAAAGCTTGCTTTTTTAAATTTTTTTTTTTTTTTTTTTAATTTTTTATTGTGATTTGGGTGAAAGTTACATATTAAAATCATTTAATAATACATCTTTGTTGGCTGTATTTTGTGGCTATGATTGTTTAATTGATCTTCCATTGATAGGAATTGTTTGTTTAGTTTGTCATTTCTCATTCATGTTTTTCTTTTTTAAAAAATAATACTGTATTTCTGGTGAAGTTTAACATAGTGGTTTAGGTTCCCATTCAACAATTTCTACACAAATAGTTCAGTGACATTTGTTACATTTTTCACAATGTGTAAACATTTTCATTATTTCCGTTTTGGTTGTTCTACTACTACTAATCTAGTTTCCCTGACCCCCTTATGGTCTTATCTTTGTTTTAAAGTAATTATTGACCATCTGGTCTCCTATATCCCAAAACACACTGCCATCAAGTCATCTGACTCATAGGGATACCCCCATTAGGTTTCCAAGGCCATAAATCTTTACAGAGGATTTACCCCATCTTCCTCCCTTGGAGAACTAATAGGTTTGAACCGCTGACCTTCTGGTTAGCAGCCAAATGCCTTACCCACTATGCCTCCAGAACTCCTTTTTGGTCTCCTATAGGTGATTTTTTAAAGGAATACAGTACTTAAGGATAACATTCATTATTTTGTGAGCCAGTGGGTCATTTAGGAGAAGGTAACCTCAGGTTAGTTTCTGTTCAGGGTTTAAAGATTATATCATGGCAGTAGCCTCCAGGAGTCCTCCAATCTCAGACAGTCCAGTAAGTCTTGTTTGTTTGTTTTTTTTAAGGAATTTGTGATTCTGGTCTACCTTTTTCTCTCATTCTATTAGGCTCCATCTTTTGTGACCCTGGGTAGAATCGATAGTAGTAGCCAGGCATCATCTGGTTGTGGTATCAGAATACATGAGGCTGTGGTCCGTGTAGACTGTTTGCTCTGCAGATTGATTTCTTCTTTGAGTTTTTGGTTTCCTTCTTTCTTTTTTTTTTTTCTAGACAAGTAGAGACCAGTAGTTGTATCTTACTTGGCCACATACAAGTTTTTAAGACCCTAGACAGTGCTCATCAAAGTAGTATGTAGAGCATAATTTTATGAATTATGTTATGCTACTTGACTAAAATATTCTATGAGACTATGATCCTAATCCTTCAAATCCAGAAAATCAATCCCACAAGGTGTTTGGTTATGTCCAAGAAGTAGCTGTAACTGTGCCCCTATGTGTGCTTTTCTATATATGTGACTATATGTATATACATTTGCATATACCTACATATACCCACATCAGTACTGATACACATGTATGCCTATATACATAAATATACATCATCACATATATTTTATTATTATTCACATTTTTATTGTGATTTGGGTGAAAGTTTACATATCCTTACATGTTTTTTGGTGTTGCTATTATTTTGCTATTGAATAGATTTGACAGAGAGAACTGAATCATGGCTTTAATATCATTCACTTTTTCTTCCTATCATTTTGTTACTAATAGATGCTTTTTTAAAAGGAGTACAATAAATTTCAAACTTCATCTTTGCTCTTCAGTTTTTTTGAGAGAATGGGTAACAGAAAATATTACAATTGAAAGCCTTTGTAAAATCTGCCAATAATTTTTTTAGTGTCATATCAGCTTTCTTTTATTGTTTTAAGCATATTAAAAAATATATGTATCAAAAATTATCTTAAGCTTCTTAAAAAGAGATGTGATGTATTATGTATTGTCAGAATCAGAAGATGAAGTGGAAGAGGAGCAAGAGGAAAGGCAACCATCTCCTGAACCTGTGCAAGAAAATACCGATAGTGGTTACTATGAAGCTCACCCTGTGACGTAAGAAAAGTGGTTTGCAAGGTTAAATTTGGCCTGAACTATAATGTAGTTGCAAGGTGCTTTAATTCAAAAATTGAATGTTGTTTGGCCCAAAACAGTGATCATTACTGATAATATAGACTGTTTAGGAAAGCAGAGAGTAAATAAATGTTTTATATTATTTTTTATAAAATGTGAGAATTATAATTAACACCAAAGTAAACATTTTTAGCAATCGCTAATAACTACACTGTTTTAAAATTGTAAAGTTAGAGAAATAATACTTGTTCTTATTGGACTTTTGTTCAAAGCTTCTGATAAATATATAATAGTTTATTGGCATATAACTAGTTATGCCCATTAGATTAGAGACATTGAATTTTATCTTGCTTTAACTGATCATTTCACTCATACTGAAACGTTAACAAAATATTTTATTGCAGTAATGGCATAGAGGAACCTTTGGAAGAATCTTCTCATGAGCCTGAACCTGAGCCAGAATGTGAAACAAAGACTGAAGAACTGAAACCTCAAGTGGAAGAGAAAAACTTAGAAGAATTGGAGGAGAAGTCAGCTTCTCCTCCTCCTGCAGAACCTGTTTCTCTGCCACAAGAACCACCAAAGGTTAGATCAAAGGAAACTCTTTAGACCTGTAACATCACATTTTCATATTTGGTGCCATTAATGAAGCATGGTCTTTGTTCTATTATGTTAAATAGTTTAATATAGTAAACTATACTTCTTTGTATATATGAAAGAAGCTGGTTTTTTCTGCTATCCTGAGGAAATTTCATTTCCCCTCTCCTTCCCCTCAAAAAAAAAAAAATACTCTCAAGTATGACTGAAATGAGAACTTGAGTGTAATCAATCCTTGTCTGAATGCAAAGTTTAATAATTGAACATGAAATTATTCAGGTTCATGTATAAGTTGCTCTTTCATTCGGAATTAAGGTCTTTAAGCATGATGCAAATTTAAACCTAACTCCAGGAGTCCAACTTAAAACAAGTTGGTCTGTGATTAAAACCAGAGCTGTATCTGTTATTTCTGCTTTAAATGGGATCAATTTCCTTACTACACCAATTAAACTATCTTAGAAAGATGAGTGACACCCACCGTGTATCATTTTTAAGCCTACCTAAAATTTCTTTTATCTTCCTGTAAAGTAGACTTTAAAGTATATTTGGGTAGTGAGAGGAGAATCGTTGTTCACTTTATGAATGTCTGTTAAAGTTTCCAGCTAGCACTTTCTTCTTTCCTATGCTTCTCCTCTCCCCTCAACACCATCACACCCTGTATTCCCACAAAAAGGGAAAGAAATTGCTTCTTTTAGGTTCAGAATTTTCTAGTATCTGTTGTTGTTAGTGGTTTTGTTTGCTACTTGCTCACCTCCTTAGAGTATGTAGGAACTTGCTTGTGGTTTTACTTAGTAGTTCAGATAAAACATACAGTCATAATTTTGCATAATGAGATTTTGAAAGGTGGCACATAGACTGGCATGTGTGTGTGTGCCTTTTTTTTCAGGAGTCCTGCAATATAGAGCAATAGTTTAGAAATGAAAAGAAAATATATATTTGGAAGTTTCCCTATAGGAATGTTGGTGGTTTTCCATGATTAGTAGTCTAGGTTTGTTGCATTTCCTGCAGGCTTTCTCCTGGGCTTCAGTGACCAGTAAAAACCTGCCTCCTAGTGGTACTGTTTCTTCCTCTGGAATTCCACCCCATGTTAAAGCACCAGTCTCACAGGTAACCAATCTGTGAACACATTGGATTGTATCCTTGTTACATTGCCAATTGCTTATCTTTTTTATACTTTTTTAAGTGAATCAATCAGAAAATATGGATTAAATATACAAAAAAAAAAATTGTAGTAAATGTAAATGCACCCATTTTAAAGGCCAAATCTCCATTCATCATCTACATAGGTGGTATTTGGGGTTTGGGTGTGTGAAATACAGATTAAGTTGGTTTTCCCAGTATAGATTATTGTCATTTAAAAGGCTTCTTAAATAATAACAACAAAAAACTGTTCCTTTTAAAAAAAATTTTAAATTTTACTTGGCAAGAAGTATTTTAGAACTTTAAATTCAACCCATGGGGAGAAATTTGGAAAGGCACAAAGTGGTAGGCATTATCAGGAATCATTGTTTTAAAACAAAACAAGATATTTAAAACATACACTACCTAAGCTCTCAGTCTGTAAGTGGTCCAAACCATATAATTGAAGCCTGTACCAACTTATGACTGTAGTGTTCACCTTAACTGATCATTCTAGTATTCTGCTTTTTGTCTGTTTGTCATTCTTACCCATTTCAGAGTTTCCAAAAATGTTGGAAATAAGGCACTGGCTACCTGAGATGTCTAATTTTTAGGCATAGTTAAAGGGTGCCCAATTCTTTTCCCTATATTTTGAGTCAAATTTCATTCTAGAATATTCACATTTAAAATGGTTAATGCACATAAAAGTATTCGTTTATATATAGTTTTGTATACCCAGTAAAGTGAAACTTTGAGCTTCAAAAGTAGCTGTAATTATTAGACAAAGTCTTTTTTTTTTAGTGTTGATACACATTATTAACAGCCAGCTACATAATAGGAGAATATATGGTCCTGCATAGTACTGTTGTTTCAATTAGATATACAAGAAATGTTGAGTGCCTACTTGAGGTACAGATTAGAATTCTGTCTTAATGAAGAAAATTAGTTCACCCAGTAAATATTGCTTATTTTTTTCCCCCAATTACCTGAAGATTTTATAGTTGACTTTTGGCTTTTCTTTTGAAATCCTTGATTTGTATTTACAATCCTTTGCATTTTTACTTTATTTTGTAGAGTTGGCTACATTTTTTTTTTAACATTTATAAATTAAAATAGCTAATGCTTGTTATGCTCTTAATATATACCAGGCATTATGGTAAGCACTTTATATTCATTCTTACTTAATCTTCATAGCCACCCTGTGAAGATGGGTACTATTATTATCCCCATTTTACAGATAGGAAAATTGAGAGCTAGAGTCAGGTTAAGTAACTCACTCAGTTGCATAAGTAGTAAGGATTGGGCTTTGAATTCATACAGTTTGACACCAAAGTCCCTTATGTGGCTAATGTAAACCAACAGATTTTCTTTAGCCTCTTGGTGTAAGGGACTATAACTACATCAAATATTTACATTAAAGAAGAGTACTATATTTAAGGCCACCCCTAAATTACATTTAGGTCCTCTTGCTTAGGAAAGTAATCTAGTGTTGTGTGTTTGTTTTATTTTTGGTTTGTTTTTAAGGTTTGAGCATTTCTAAGTTGTTTTTCAAATTGTAAGCAAAGTAGACTGTATTCCCTAACTTCCTACCCCTCTTGTTAAAATGAACTTTAAATAATTAAAACTTGAACTTTAAAAGAGCTTTCTGATCTCTTCATACTATCTTTAAAATGGATTCATGGTATTTCCACTTGTTTTAATAAACCTTTCAATTTTATTTTGTTATGTTGGTGTGATGTCCATTTCCTTAAACTTTTAGTGTAGATAATTAATGAAAGGAGAATTAAATCTAATTCTAGAGTATTGGTAGGCATTAATTTAGAAGTTGGTAACTTGATTTCTTGGTGAAAAGGCTTTGTTTGGAAATGGACTTGTTTATTAGTTCTGGTTATACAGGCTATTATTGACTTGATTTCATGGTTCCATTTTTATTTCATATTCTCTGACCTTCATTTCTGGCACTTATTACATGAGCACACATTTTGGTTACATGGCATTACTTTTTTAGGACCCTAACAATAGTGTGTGGTATATTAGCTATTTTATCTATTTGGAATAACTTGTTTTAATCATGAGTTTGGACCTGAAAAATCATAGTGCACAGCTGGTTTGGTTAAGATACGTTACTGAGTTATTAAAGAGTGTTGTTAGCTTTTTTGTCTTATGCATTTCTTGCACTGGCATCATTTAATATATACTGAAAGTCATGTTGCTAAATTAATGGTATGAATTATTTTTAAAGCATTGGAAATGATCTATGTTTAATTTTTAATCCTTAAAAGATAAGGACTTTTCTATTTCACTACCTCCAGTTACTTTTGTTTTGATAATGTGATTTGAAAGGAATTGAATAAATCAGTCAGGGGACTCAAGGTGTTTTGGTAACATTTGGATTGGATGAGTCTGAGGTTTTTCTGAAATTTTTAAATAACAGGTACATTTTCAATTTTTGTGCATTTCTAATATACTAGCTTTGTTAATCCTTAACAGTACATTTTTTATCTTTTAATTGTTTTACATTCATGCAGAGGTAAGGTGTGCTTCTTAGGCCCTCTTAGTTGAAATTTCTAAATAACTGTTTTTTTCAGGCATCACATTTTGGTTCAGGTTATGTACATAGTATTAAACTCTAAATACAGATAACAATAGTCCCTTGTCAGGCGTAGAATATTGTCCTTACATGTTTTGAGTCAGAACTAAAAATGTAATTAGTTTAAAATGAACCAGTAGTTACTGAAAATCTATGTCTAGTGGCACAGTGCATGGCTCTTTGAGTGATGTAGAAATGAATTTAGATGTCCTTTTAGGACTATATAACATAAAAATATTTCAAAAAACTTGTGAGGGTTAAATTTATTTTTAACAAAATTAAGTTAAAATTCTCCATGTATTTTAACAAAAGACCATGGGAAGCAATTTTCTCTTGAAGGACATGGGAAATCTACATGGTGGAAAACAAAATTTGGGAATAAGTAGGCAAACCTGTTAAAAACAGCTTAGGATAGGATTGAATGCATTTTTGGTTACACTGGCTGAAATCATTTACAGTAAATTGCCAGTTTTGGAAGAAACATTCTCTAAAGTCAGTTGTATCAAAATTTTTTGTTGCAAATAATAATACCCCAATTACGTAAGCAATAAAAGAGTTTGAGTCACTGCCTAGACTGAAGTGCTCAGAGATGATGCACAAAGACAGGACTAAAATTTCTGGCTTTCTGATTTGAGAACATACGTTTTCCATATCCTGCTGGGTTTTTAGCATACTTCGAAGGTTCATGTATTTTGCCTCTTTATTGGACCATAAATACTTGTACAGTAGTAGTTGACTTGAAGAGGTTGGAGAATACTGAAAATGCCATTATATTAAGGAAAAGGTAACTGCAGATGAGAATGTTATTTTGTTTTAAAAAAATACTTAGTTTAATTACATGTGTTTAATTCTAGTTACCAGAAACATTTGGAAGGTATCTTCAGGTATCCTATTAATTTTTTAGTTTCTCAAAAAAAAAAAAAAAAAATGCAGTTAGGGAAAGTTGTTGGGGTCAATACTTAAATAAATGCACATCTTTCCCATATGGAAGAATAGTAGGGATCTAAAGGATTTTTTTTTTTTTTTTTAACAAAACTATTTGAGATCCTACATATACATTCTTATATAAGTTCCTATGTTGTTGTTTTGTTTTATTTTGTTTTTTTAACCATGCATTTAAATTTAATATTGAAGGTAGCATTCTTTGGTGCCAGAATAGGTTAAATTGTATACTGAAATTGAATTATCTTACTGATTTTAAGATTCATATATGGGGCAGGAGCTTAGAAGATACTACTGAGCACTTATATTCAAAGGGCAGGAAACCAGATGTTTAGTAATTATGTGTCATATATTCTTTCTGAGATGAAGATGGCTTACAAATCTGCACATGTATTTACATGGAGTGGTTCATCTTACATTTTGTGATTTTTGTAGAAGTACCTTTCTGCTGTTACTCTGTGGAGTAACTTTATTGGGGAAGAAAATGTGACTGTAAAAAACGTCTTATTTTGAGTTATATACAGCCTTGAGTGGGAAAGCAAAACCTACCCTACAGTCCTAGATTGGTACAGAATATCTTTGTAAAAGTTTATTTTTTCACATGCATAGGACACTGTTAAAAATTCTATAGTTAACCACTATGCCTCCTAGTAATTGATTGATAGCTGCTTTAATCAACTTTTCTCCTATAGAAGGTTTCCTTATGATATATTTTTTTCCTTATATTATAGCCAAGAGTTGAAGCTAAACCAGAAGTTCAGTCTCAGCCGCCTCGTGTGCGTGAACAACGGCCTAGGGAGCGACCTGGCTTTCCTCCTAGGGGACCAAGACCTGGTGAGCCAGCCCTTTCTCTAACCTTTAGCATTTAGCACTGGAAAAGTCAGAAAAGAATGAACTTTTAGAAAACTAAATGTGTTTTATATAAACATCTCTCAGTACCAAATTGCTTAAAGGTTTGAGTAACCTGTTGAAATTATAGCCTGGGGTAGAAAAACCAGCTATTAGGGGATTTCTTGAATACCATGGAGAAATGTATTTGGAAGGTGTAATAGGCTTTTGAGACAAACTTTATTTGGTTATTGTCACTGGTTCTAAGAATTCAAACCGAGCTGCCAATAACCTACTCTCTTACTTAGCACTCTTATCTCTTCACAGATAAACAATAAGCACACCCCGATTCTTCTTATTTTGATTGTCTTAGGTATTAAGTAAGTTGCCATAATTTTTGACTTGTTTACATTGTTAGCTAATATATATGTAGTACCTTTATTTGAATTCTATAAGTATGTTTAGATTGCTTTTGGGAGGAGATGGGAAATAGTATATTTCAAATTTAGGATTTGTAGTGATTTTTTAAAAAATGTAATGTATTACTAACTAAACCTGAAGTCATGGGACCTGGGATTTTTCCCAGCCTTTCCACTCATTTGAGTTTGATCTTGACTGAGACCCTTAAATTCTGAACTTCGTCAATTATCACACAAAATTTTCTTGTGATACTTGTCTTATATGACTCACTGTGTTCCTTGTGTTAGTGGAATGATATATATGTATGTGTGTGTATATATACACACCCTAATATGTATTTATAAAACTAAGTAAATATTATTTCTACTAAAATTTACTGATTTGGTTGTAATTTCATACAAAGGACTAAACAAATAATTAGCACAAATATATGTCACTGTCATATATGTGATGGCAACAATTTAGTTAAGGAGAAATACCTGTACCACTAATACTTTAATATAATCAGATCGTTAGCTCAAGAAGAGGGGACTTTAGCAATCTAGTCATATACCCTCACTTTTCAGTTTTTGTGTCATGTTGTTTTCTAACTAACCTACTAATGATAGGCACTTCCACCTCTGTTCAAGGAGCTCATAATCTTATTAAACTAAAACAGGAATATCAGTATTAAAAGATTGCTACATTCGTTGCTTTGAACTAGTTTATATGTGAAACTATAAGCTAATATCTGATCTATTCCTGTTCTTAGGCAGAGGAGATATTGAGCAGAATGATTCTGACAACCGTAGAATAATTCGCTATCCAGACAGTCATCAACTTTTTGTTGGTAATTTGCCACATGATATTGATGAAAATGAACTAAAAGAATTCTTCATGAGTAAGTGGTTTATTTTGCTTTATTTTAAAAGCAAGCAAGAGTATAGAACTTTTTTCATATTCAATTTGAAAAAAAGATTTCTCTCTCTGTAGTATGTGTACTTTGAGCCACCAGTCTTGCCTTGATCAAAAGGGAGCAAAAGACTTTATCAGATGTTTCTCGTTGATTGTGCGTAGTATTAACTTGCTTCTGTAGAGGTCAAGGAAAATAGAGCTAGGGAAAACACACTTCATTTCTGAGATGGGACTCATTTGGCAAATGTAAATCAGAAATTGGAAGAAAATATGTTGTCTTTCTAAAACTACAGATAACTTTGCTTACATAGGGACTAATACAGATGCAGAAGGTAACCAGACAAACAGCCAGGCAAACTGCTGGTAACCTAAGTGTATGACATACGTGAGTGAATGCACCTTAGTTGTCACTGGGTGTAGCAACTTGCAGCTTTTATTTCAAATGTATCAAGGAGATTAAGGTTATTCATCCTGAACAATTAAAGCCATCAAAGTATTCTGTTAATGTATTTAACCCTTGGTATAATATATATTTTCACAGGTTTTGGAAACGTTGTGGAACTTCGCATCAATACCAAGGGTGTTGGGGGAAAGCTTCCAAATTTTGGTTTTGTGGTTTTTGATGACTCTGAACCAGTTCAGAGAATCTTAATTGCAAAAGTAAGTGACTTAGAGGACGTTATTCAAAACTTTATTATACTTGTATATATTATTAATATGGTATACTTTAAAATCACAGAAAATCTTTTTTTAATGGTAAAGTTAAACTTGGTTCATTATGAATGGTATTTATGCAAAGATTAAGACTTACTAGTTTTAAAATCTATATAGATCATTTTAAATTACTTTTCTGATGAAGGTTGAAAAATACTGCAAATTTAGAATTTCATGGAAGTTCATTTCTTAGGATTTTCTTATTGTATAAGTAATTCATTTCCATAACAATCTAACCTGCCCTCTTAAATATTTTTCTCCCCTTTTAAAGCCAATTATGTTTCGAGGGGAAGTACGTTTGAATGTAGAAGAGAAAAAAACAAGAGCTGCAAGAGAACGAGAAACCAGAGGTGGTGGTGATGATCGCAGGGATATTAGGCGCAATGACCGAGGTCCTGGTGGTCCACGTGGAATAGTGGGTGGTGGAATGATGCGTGACCGTGATGGAAGGGGACCTCCTCCAAGAGGTGGCATGGCACAGAAACTTGGCTCTGGAAGAGGAACTGGACAAATGGAAGGCCGCTTCACGGGACAGCGTCGCTGAAGCCCCACTGTTGGCAAAGTCTTGGCAGTGGTACATTATTCATCGTGTTTGCATTCTTGTTAATTTTTTTTGGCTTTGGAATGTGACACAGCCTTTTTGATCATTTCTTTGATGTGAAAAGCATCTTTTGGTTAACAGTTAAATTGAGGTGGACAATTATTTCCCCAATTTCACAACAGGATTCACATTGTTAATTTATAAATCTAGACTTGGAGAATTACGGACTGAGAAATGACCATATCCTAAACTGTCTTCAACAAAATGAACTTAAAAGGACATTCCCAACTGAATTCAGGTCCTTTGAGTCAAAAAAAAAAAAATCTTCTGCTGCACATTTTGTTTAAGTGTTACTGTTTCTGCCTGTTAATGTTGGAAACACAAATAGTGCAATTTGTGCAATTGGAGAATCTTGCCTTTTTTTCTTGGCTTCCCCCAAAAATACAAACCAACAGAAACTTGTTACGCACTCATCAAAATGCACTAATGGGTACTCTGAACTCATTAATATTGACATCTGCGACAGGAGGCAACAGGGAAAAAATTCTTTCATCTTCTTTTCCAGTAGAGAATAGTTTGTGAAATGATGAGGGCATTTTATCTGCTTGCTGTGACCAGCGTGTGTACACATAAACCTTAACAAGACTACAAGTATATTCCAGAAGGAAATCATTTAGTTATGAACTAAACACAATTCAGAACTTCAAAACTGTGGTCTTTTGAGTATTAGACCAGGTTTAGTAGCTCCGTAGCTAAGATTTTTCTACCTGCCCCTCTTCAGTACAGGGATGGCTGGCTGCTCAACACACTCCTCCTACCCCCTTTTCCTTTCTTTAAGCTGTGTACAGTGAAAATTGTCTTTACTGTATTTTTGTTCTCTGGTAATGTAATAAGCATGATGGTGCCTTCTATTAATACATCATTCCAGTCTTGCTGGTAATTTTGTACAGTATAGTGTATGAGTTGCTGTGCTGCAAAGCCAAACAGCTGCAAAATGTTGAAAAATCATTGAAGTGTAAAAATTGCAGTATCTTTAAAATCAGTAAAATCAACTAGTATATTATTTACCTTGTTTTTAGTTAACAACTTTGTGTTCTCTGTGGGAGGGAGTCTTGTGTGTTTGGGAGGGAAAAGGAAGTAGAAAGTCAGCTTCTTGAGAAAGTCCCTAGTTGACTTTCTCTTATCAAGAATTTGAATGTTGAAGTGTATCACTTGAGAGGTGCTTCGAAAAGTCAATCAACTTGATGTACATTTTTAGTGATATTTTAAAGGCAGTCAGATTCCATAAATGGCAAGTAAACTCAAAGTGAGGATACTGCAATTTTCAGAGAAAAGAATAGCAGCTCTTAAGTGTTTGAATTTTCTATTTGGGGGGCAGGGAACTGTCATTCATTTTGCACAATTCTTGAACTGATGTCAGCACCCGAGTGGCTCTGAATTTAAGTCTGGGATGACATCTTTTATTTTTACATAAATCTTTAAACAATTCTGTGAGCAAAGTTTGTAGCTGCTGGATTATTGTCTGTCTTTATAGCAAGCTCCAGTAAACCACAGGTATGGTGAAGGATATCCAATTTTATGCTTGGAGCATTCAGTACATACCAATTTCTGATGTTTCAGGTTAGGAGTGGGATAAATAAGTGTGACCACTTAACGCTGCTTGTTAGCATGGAAGACTTCTCCGTTCTATATTAGTTAAGAATAAACAAAAAAAAAATGCACTTGACATAGTAGCAAATTGGTTATGAAGTAATGCAACTGTTTGCTGTCTAGTATACTAGCCAATGATGTATGTATTTTATTTTTCATGTACTGGGCAATACAAGTACAATTAAATGTCTTTTTTCCCGCCTTGAATGAGGTCTTCCATGTTTGAAGAAAAGTCTTGCACTATTGGATATAGTTTTGGGGACATGTATTTCTGTTTTTTGGATTTAAGGATTTTTTTCCTGTTTGAAAGTTTTACACTTTCAGATGTTAGGTATAGTACTTGAAGTTCTTACCATAAATTTACTTTTGCATTTTGAAGACTTTATTCATATTGCTTTTAAATAAGTGGCTTATTGTCAGTGTTCTTTTTTTAAAGTGATTTTTTTTTTTTTTTCTTTTCTTTTCTATTTCTTCCCATTTTATACACACACACACACACACCCAGCCCCTGTCCAGGATATTGCCCTGCTACTCATAAAACTATGTGACTATGTTCTGGCACCAAAAGTAATGACAAATACTAAGCGTGACAAAATTAGAGCAAAGAGCCATTCAGCTTCAGTATTTACATACTATGAATAAAACTTTAAAACATCATATGGAGAAGTTTACATGGTGATTGTTCACCTGCAGTACTGTGGACTTTTGACATTTTGTCCCCTTTTCAGTGAAACAGAGTAAAAATATTCATCTACTATTACTGTTACTTGCTGGGTTTTTTTGTTTTTGTTTTTTGGTTTTTGATGGTAATATTCTATCCTTATGACAGTATTGCAACCAAATTGGCTTTATCATCTTGGCTTTAGTAGGTATAGAAGACAATGGATTACCATCTTTATTGCTGTAATGTGTTAAGCATTATATGCTAGTAGATTCTAGTTTCATTGTTTCAGGTGGAAAGTATTCTTTGAGTTTCCATTTTGAATGTGTTTGGACTAAACATACAATAAACTACTGATGTCTGCAGCATTTATCTATGTCCCGAATTTAATCTGTAGGTTTATGTTCTAAAATATTTTCTCCTAGTTGAATTTCACATAGCTTAAGTGAAAATAAGGAATTGTTCTAAAACCAACTGCTTGCTATTTCTGATACCTAGATGTATATTTAAAAAAATAAATAAATAAACCATTTAAGTAAGTCTTGAACGTTGCTAGAGATATCCCAAACCAAGGAGAAGGCTAGTATACAAGTTCAAGAATATTGGAACAGAATAAGAGTAATAAAGATGAGAATGACCTAAATGAAAAATAAATAAATCTTGGGCTTTCTAAAGATTGCTATGTTCTATCAGGAGAAACAGAGAAAGGAAAGGATGGAGGAATATTGAGGTCACATTTTACATCATAACTCAAGCTTAAAAATTGGAAAAATTTTGTTAAGCTTTACCAGGAATATAAAACAAGCATTTAGTCATATATGTGAATACATGCTTCAAACAAAAGAATTCTACGGCATACATAATTCTGAACTTGAAATTTTCCCTTCTCTAGAGGGTATGATAAGGAGCTCTGGTGGTATAGTGCCTGAAGCATTTGTCTGCTAACCAGAAGGTTGGCAGTTCAAACCCACCAGCCACCGGGCAATCTTCCGTAAAGATTTACCACCTCGGAAACTCAAAGGGGTTCACTATGAATCAGAGTCAACTTGATGGCAGTGAGTTTGGTGGAGTTTTTTTGGAGAGGGTATGGTATAGATGAATTTTTTGTGATAATATATTACATAATACTAAATTTCTAAATCAGTCTTAATATAATATTTTTAATGGAGTGAAGCCAGAACAACCATTGTTTAATATTAAGGAAGTAAGACTTAGGATTTTTATAGATGTATCACTTTTAATTATGATGTAATATTAACTTAACCTAATTTTATGGCTGTGGAAAAACGTTTTAGAAGGTTAATATAGTTATCACACACTCTGTTGAAAATAGACCCAAATTATCATTTGGTCCTGGTGATTTATATGGGAAAAAGATTTGAAATTTTAGCTACTGAAGATGCTTCATTTCAATTATGAATGTAATATGCTATTTTCTTTGTAGAAAGTGAATGAAAAACTTGGATTCATGTTCATATTTTAAATTAGGGAAACTTGATTGTCTTAATTTATATTTTCATTGCAGATAAATGAAGACTTTTTTAATTTGTTTTCATAAGACTAGTAGCAGGCTGTTGTGGTTATTTTTATACCAGAGTTCTAAATTATTTAAAATTACTTCATAAATGAACACAGAAGAAATTCTCCTTTGTGATAGGATCCAGTAGGTTTACAAAAGACAGTAATTGCTTAAAACGATTTGCATATCAAGTCAAGTGATTCTTAAATAATGAAGTTTCTGGGTATTTTTGACAAATCGGAACTGAAAATACCTCAAAGCTTCTAGTACATGTACAGGAGCTCTTGTGGCTCTTAGTTCCTAAGGCATTTGACTGCTAACCAGAAGGCTGGTGGTTCAAACCCACCAGCCACTCCTTGGAAGAAAAACTGGGCAGTCTACTTCTGAAGAGATACCACCTCAGAAACCTGAGGGGTTGTTATGAGTTGGAGCCTACTCAACTGCAGTGAGTTGGGTTTTTTCGGTTTGAGTACATGTACACGTTATTTGATATGCTTTAGGATTTTAAGAAGTCTCTCTTTAACATTACCAAATACTAGGCAAATACTTTGAATACAGATTTAGAATTATTCACTGAAAGATCACCAGCCTTCTGTTAATTGCAAAATTAATTTCTTTGTCCTTTTTGATCTGCTAAAGTCGACTGCCTCCTTGAAATGTTTTCACTTTGTAATGTGACTAAGACTCTAAACTGTTCTTGTTTTCTGTATCCTTGCCCTATTCCCTACAACCCTTCTGTCCTCAGTCACTTCTTTCCCCACGAGGTTTCTCTGGATATTTTCATGATAGAGGCCAGGTGGATTACCTTAGCTTCAATATATTATCCATTCGGTGGATTCCATATAGTATAATGGTCAAAAGCAGGATTTTGGAAGCAGACAGCCTGGGCTTGGATGCTAGCTGCATCGTTTAATGGTTAGCCTTTTTGTGTGCATTTTTTTTTATTTGTGAAATGAAGTGGGGTTATTGAAGATTCAGTCACACAGTAGACCCTCACTAAGTGTTAGCTCTTGTTACTGATTCAATTGTATTTCTACTATCTACCTACCCTGTTCAAAATATGTCTTTCTTGATAACCTTTTGGCTGTATCCTCTTGGAATTCCTAAATAATTAAAATTGCAGAGTCCAAGATAATGTATTTTCTCTTTCCAAATGACTTATGTATGCTGGACTCTAATAATGAACATCTCTTTTTCTAGCCTATTTAATCACCCTGGAAATGTTTGAAAGCTCATTGTAACACTTAGTATATTTCTTTGTCTCCCTGTCCCTCCTCAATCCATTTTTCCGGCCACAAGCCTTGTTCATGTTACTCAGATTAACTTTCAGTGGCTCATTCAATTTATTCATTTATTATTTATTATTAAGCTTTTTAAGTGTCAGGCACTGTTCTAGGTACTGTTGATAAGTTCCCCCTTTTCTAAGAGAAAGGAACTAAAGCCCTATAGGAAGACTGAGTTGGTACATATTTAAGAAGATGGTAAGTAGAGAGCAGGCTATAAAGGGGTCTTGTAAGCATTATGGAGTTTGCTCTATTCCAAGAGCAATTGAAGGTATTGATAGTTTGGGTGAGTGGATGTGCACTAGTGACAAGATTACTATTTTGAAATGTCGCTGGCTACGGAGTAAACAAATTTGAGGTCAAGAATGATTTGGAGTTAACCATTGTAAGAGGACTTGCAGTATTTTCATTCAAGAACTATGACAGTTTGGACTAGAAGGGTAGTACTAGAAATCTAAAGAATCTGACAAACTTGAAAGCTTTGAGAGGTAAATAGCCAAGCGTTGGTGAGGGAGAGAGGGTGGTATCAGAAGAATCTAAAGTTTCTCATATCCATAATTGGATACCTTAACATGGTATGTGAATGGTAGGAACACATACGCTTTCAAGGTGGTGAAGCAGGCGCGTTAGAGAAACCCTCAATTTGGATGTGCGCTATAGCATATAAGATCTGGTTATCTAGAAGTGTATGCGATTTTGCATGTTGTGTTTTTTATTTGGCCCCCTTGGCTTTTTGCATTTTTGTTTCAAGATCAATACATGTGTTGCCCACTATGTAGAATACAGGTAGGTGATCCAAAAGAACAAACTCCTGTGTTCCAGTCCTAAGAACTACTTTCTTGTATGTGTGTTTTTTAATCTTTTTTTTTTTCCTTCATACTACTGAACATTATTTTAGTAAAGATGATAATATAAAGCAAATGAGTGGCAACTTT